GAAGGGAAATACTGAGGACTGAGGAGTGAGGTGGCCAGAGGCTGAGCATCCTCATTTCGTGGTGACCTCTCCAGGCCTGAGGAAGAGGGGAGGACAGATATGGATCCTCACCTGCTCGGAGCCCGAAGTTTAGATTGATGTGAGCAGGGCCGGAGCTGCTCTTCCCTGTGGCTTGGGTTGGGAGGGTGTGTAGCGTTATTTCTCACCTTTCTGAGTCTAGACAGGCCCCTCTTCACCTCCGTGCCTCTATCTCCACATTCCAGAAGGGGACGATCAGAGGCATGTGTCCCGCTGGCGCCAACCCTGGTGTCCTTCGGGAAGGAGGGTGCAGAGTGGGGTGGGGAAAGGCGGCTGTGGTGGGACCAGAAGCAGCTCAAGGCCGCGGGCGCCCCAGGATCCAGGTCATTGCCGGCCCTCGCGTAGCAGCCACAGCCGTTTGTGGGGGGTGGTGGGGAAGGGCTGGCACCGGGTCGGGGGGAAGTCCCCTGAGTTCTTCCCCGCCAGAGCCTGAGAAGTAGAGCCAGGGCTGGGGGATTTCTTTTCCACTGGCCATTCTCCTTTCCTCTCTTCTCTTAGGACCTGAAGTCTAAATCTTGCTGGATTCCTCCTTTGAAGGAATCAGTAGCCGGTCAGGCAGAGCAAGGTTCCTCCAACTTCCTCAGTGTGAGGTTCCTTCCCTTTTTCCTCCCCCATCCTTCCCTCTTCCTCTCCCCTGCTTTGAATCTCCAAGATCTGTGTGATGGCTTATTTCGACCCTGAATGCACTCCTGGCCAGTGGGATTTGTTTCCCAGGAATAGGATGGGCCCCTCCCCCGTCCTTCCCGAGCACAGCCACGCAGTCCTGCGGGTCTGGGTGGGTGGGAAAACTGGGGCTGGGAACTAGGCTGGACCACAGCCAAGTCTTCTGTGATGTTCTCTCCAAGTTGAAAACAGAACAAGCCCAGACATTTAAAGGTAATTAGTTTAGCTCCAAGTGGTTCTGGGGATAATCTCAAACTTCAAAGCTCCTCTGTATGTCAAGACCCGGGGAGCGGAGGGCGGGCGGGGGTCAGGGGCTAGGAATGCACTCAGAGGACCAGAGGCCACCACCCTTCACCCCCTTCTCTCATTTGCTCCCCTCACATCATTGGGCTTTTCCTCTCGGTTCCCCGGGGCCTAGAACAGTGTTTTCACTTCACAAGTCCGCCAGGCTGCTGCCCAGTTAGCAAAGGGACTCGCCTGTGCTCACAGCCTTGCTGTCTCCACCCAGAAGGGAGACGAAGCCGAGGCCAGAGGCGAGGACCTTGATTTCTCCTCCAGGCTTTCTCCCCGCCTCGGAGACTCACTTCGCTGTCCAGGACTGACCCCTAACGCCTCTGAGCCTCCCCGGCAGTCCTCAGCAGTGTGCTGAAGTGTGGGTTCACGGAACCCGGGTCTGGGTTCCACCCTGGTCACTGGTCAGTGGAATAGCAAGGGACAGCTCATCTAACCGCTCAGAGTCTGTGCCTCATTTACCTCGTTTTTGTTCTAGGAGCTATAGATGCAACATCTTTGCACTCACGGACCTTACATTTTGGTGGAGACATTCGCAACACAAATGTAAACATTAGATTATTACAGGTTAAAGCAAGTGTTACAAAAGAAATAGACAGATCGGAACAATGGAGGGTGGCGGGGGAGAGGCACTTTTCCCAGGATAACCAGAGAAAGCTGCCTCGCAGAGGGTGTGAGAGAGAGCATTCTGTAGGAAGAGCCGAGGGGAGAGGCTTTCCACAGAGGCAGCAGCAGGCACCAAAGCCCCTCGTGGGAAAAGGCTTGATGCGTTGAACCGACAGAAGAGAGCCAAGTGGCTTTGACTGTCATTTTGAGCAAGGAAACAACTGGGGGGCCTGAAGGGAGCAGCAGGCAAAACCGGGTGCTGCCCGGGGCCCGCAGGGCTTGGTTAGGAGTCTGCTCTACTCTCAGAACAATGGGAAACCTTGAAGTGTTTCCCTCGGGCTGTACGATGGTGGTGCCACTTCAGATGCAAAAGCAGAACAAAGGTTGGGGGAGACAAATGCGAGGGCTGGCTCAGGGCGTCTCGGGGCGCAGGGGAGAGCGGGCGGTGGGGCGGGAAATGGCAAACATCCACGGAGAGCGGCTGCCTTACACTAGCGATAACCCAGCTGCGGCCTCTGCGTCTCCCAGGCAACACCCTCGTCACGTCCTCCCACTCCTCACACACCTGTGGAGCACCTGTCAGGTGCCGAGCATTGTCCGTGACCTCCGTTAGCATTGTCCGTGACCTCCGTTAGCGTACTTACTTCATCCTCAGACTGGCCCTCTGACATAGCTGTTATCTTTATTTGGTAAGTGAAGGAACCTCAGAGAGTTCGATTTGCAAACCCAGATCTGCCTTATCTCCCCCGCGCTGTCCGAGCACATGCCCCCAGAGGTGCACCTGGACGGGCGAAAAGCGAGTCGCCAATTGCCCAAGGGGTATAACATGTAAAATGCAGGGGAGGCTTTGGCCAAACATCTCTCTCCTGCAAATGGACCACAGAAGAATTTCTTCTTTTTTTGCCTCAAAGGCCCTGAAGGCCTCAGCTAAGCAAGAGATGGATGACGCGGGGGGATGAAAAACATGCTTTCTTATTGTCACCTGTTAAGTGAGCAAAGGAGCCCCCCACTCCTGGGGGCGCTGTCAGAGGATGGGGTGCAGGGGAGTTGCATTTGGGAGCGTGAGAGCACATTCTGGGAAACGCGGTCGCAGGGGGCGGTCACCGAAGATAACCCTGGGGCGGTGAGTGCTGCAGGGGACAGAGGTGACCGTGTAATGATGGATACCAATGAAAATGCCCACCGTTTATTGCATGCCCAGCGCGTCCCCGCTGGCTTATGGTGGCTGGTCACACCTGTCATAGCAACCCTCCGGGGTCAGTGTGGCGGTGGTTCTCTGGTTCCAAGAGGCCATGACCTTAACAAAAGCTTTTCATAGGAGAATGCACATTACACGTATACAATGTTTCGTTGTGTTGTTTTTACTAATGGAATACAGAACATATTTATTCATAACATAGCTACTTTATTCTCCAGAATAACAATGCACGATGGAATCCAAGCCTTCCCAGTCAGAGCTGAGGAGTCTTCTGGCTCCTTCTGCTGTGCACACGCAACTCTCCATAACCTGCCCGGGGCATTTTTTGCCCCTTCAGGATCAACAGCGTCATTTAGAGCAGAACAAAGAGCGCGGGTTCCTTCTCGTTTCCTGTTTTAGTGAACTTGTTGTTCTGTCTTTCTTAATTGGGTCGGCTCCCTCTTACCTGGCTAAGAAATACCCCTGCGCAGTGCACGTCCGCCTCCCTGCCTTGCGTTGCTTGCAGGTTTGCCCCCATCGGCGAGCGTGTGAGCATTGACACCGCAGTGTATTCCTCTGTCCGGTGACGGGCAAAGTTGTTATTATTTTCAACATTTATTACAAGATATATTCCTGTTACTTTTTTTTTTAAATTGTGTCTTAGCATTAGTTCATGAAACTTAAGGTTGAAGACGTTAGAGCGTTCACCCCACGTGGCACAGCTGGCAGGGGGCATACTGGCATTCTAGACCACCTATCACGTGCTTCTCGACATTCAAGGGTGCGGTTATTCGCCTCCTCTTTCTCCCTTAAACCCGCTCCCACCAGGCCTTTCTTCCCGCCATTGCCCCACAACCGCCCTTGCCGAGGCCACTCATGACCAAATGGCCCCGGCCAAGTCCACTGGCCAGTCTCAGTCACCGTCTTACGTCAGCAGGGCCAACACCGCCCTAGGAGCGATGGCTCCTCCGCCTGGCTGCCCGGGTGTCCTGCCTCGGCTGGGAGCTGCTCAGCTTCTCGTCCCCCCACCCTCACCTTCCTGCCGCCGCCAGCCGGTCCTCAGACCGCTCCCGTCTTCCTGCCCTCGCGTCTCCAGTGGCCTCCCCCAGTCCCACGGTGGCTCCTCCGGACGAACAGCTTCCACACAGAAATCTGCAGCCCCCGCGGCTCCTACCCCGCCACTGCCCACTCCTTGCCACCGTCGCCGAGCTCCTTGTTCATCCGCCCCCACTCCACCCCAAACTGGCTCCTTTCATGGTCTTCGCGTCTCAGTAAATGGAACATCCTTATTCTAGTTCCTTGGATAACAGCAGCAGAGTCATCCTGACTCCTCTCTTTCTCTTGCTCCCTGTATTCAATCCTCTAGCAAATCCTACCGGCTGAACCTTACAATTAAATCTAAAATTTATTCCAAAGCCACCACCCTGGCCCATGGTAGTCACTCGCCTAACGTAATCGGCCCACCCGGCAGCCAGGGCCTGCTTAGCGCCCCGCTTCCCCTCTCACCGCCTGCCGCTAACGGATCTCCAGCAGGGCTGGTCTCCCCGCCGGTCTCGCGTGTGCCAGGCGCTCTGCGCCGCGGGGACTCGGGACGTGGCCTGCGGGCTGCTCCTGAGGGGCTTCTCTCTCCCCCATGTTCTCCTGTGCATTGCTCCCTTGTTTGGGGGGTCTCTTTAAATGATACCCCAACAGAGAGTCCTCCTTCGTGCTCCCTGTATAAACAGCGCCCCCAAATCCCATCCCACGTACTCTGCCCTATTTCCCTGTAGCACCTCTGTCACTCGAGATGGTGCACGTGTCTTGTTTATGGCCTGTCCACGCTACACTGAACTCGACCCACGAGCACAGGAACAGTGAGTGTCTCCGTCACTACTGTCCTCCTGTCCTCTGGGCTCCTAACAGTGTCCTCCAGGAGAGGGGAGCCTAGAGGCAGGGCTGCGCTTCTGTTAACAGACGCATACGCTTTCCCGCTGCCCAGACCCTGCAGTAAGAACGACTCCTCTTCAGGTGACCACTGAGGATGGCAGTGACCGGCCCTGGCTGACTGCTGCCCTGTGTCTCCTTCCAGGCCTGCGCTGTCCCAGGCTCGGCGAGGCGTTTGCTATGCCCGCAGTCTCCTCGCGGAGCCAGGAGTGCCCCTCGCTGCCGCAGCCACCCCGGGTTCCCGCGCTGCCCCGCCCGCGCCCGGCCCCGCGTCACCATGGGCAGCGTCAGCAGCCTCATCTCCGGCCACGGCTTCCACAGCAAGCACTGCCGGGCTTCGCAGTACAAGCTGCGCAAGTCCTCCCACCTCAAGAAACTCAACCGGTACTCGGACGGGCTGCTCCGATTCGGCTTCTCGCAGGACTCGGGCCATGGCAAGTCCAGCTCCAAAATGGGAAAGAGTGAAGACTTCTTCTACATCAAAGTCAGCCAGAAGGCCCGGGGCTCCCACCACCCTGATTATACTGCCCTGTCCAGTGGGGACCTGGGCCAGGCTGGAGTGGACTTTGGCCCATCTACCCCACCCAAGCTCATGCCCTTCTCCAATCAGCTGGAAATGGTAAGTGAGGGTCTGGTAAGGGCGGGTGGTAGGAAGGGCAGGAGAGAGCAAAACAGGCAGGGAGCACAGGGCACGGAGGGATGGCAGCGATCTCGACATTTAGCTCTCCGGCGGCCACAGCGGCTTGGTGAGGGCGGAAATGCTCTGCCGCACTGCAGAGATCAAAGGCTGGACGAGGGAAGCAAAGCATCGGTCGGTCTTGGGTGAGCCATTAAGCAGGGAGCAGAGGGGAAATGAGAGGCTTTCTGAGCCCCCCGGGAGGTCTGGGTTGTGGCGGCAGGACCAGGCAGCGCCGTTTTCACGCGCATGGGAAAGGGGGGGAGGGCTCAGGGAGAGCAGATGGAGAGCAGCTCAGAGAGCTGGCAGCTTCTCCTGCCGGCAGACGCCTCACGTGCGGCTCGGTGGTGCGGCAGTTCCTTGCTCAAGCCGGGCCAGGAGGCATCTGGCTGGGAGAGGGCTGTGAGTCTCTTGCCATCGTCTTCAGCAGAAACGAGGGCAAAAGAGTCCCACATACTCAGAAATCCAGTCCTCATGCCAAAGTAAGCTCTGTGGGGCCCACCCGTGGACCCCTAAAGCACGTTTCTATTTCGGCTCCCTGCCTCTCACTGGCTTTGACACCCTAGGAGGTGGCCCCGTGTGTTTGCGTGGAGCCTTAAGTCTTTCAAAATGAGGGATTATAATGGCAAAGTACTCTACGAATGAAAATGACAATTTTAAGGAAAGGGCTGTGTCAAGTTCGAGCCGTTCGAGGAGGCCACAGTGGTGTCTGCTGGAAGGGGCAGTGGAGGTAAGCAAGGGGCTGACCTCCACAGGGACTCCACGCTCACCCAGCCCAGGGCCCCCGCAGCACCCCGCAGAGACAGAGCAGAGCTGTTCGCCGTCTCGGGAGACTGGGATGAGCTGGTGACAGGTGGCAGTTCATGGGTGATTGTTAAGGACATCCCTAGGCGCAGTGGGGTTTCTCCTGGAAAGAGATTCAGCACAGCATTCGGCTGCGTCAGAGCACAAGGCGAGGTCGCCTGTGGCCACAACCAAGAAGGGTGCCACGTGGCTGGGTGGGGCGAGAGAGACAAGGTTGTGCGTTCTTTTCCTCCCCAGGCCTCAGAGAAGGGCGCGGTGAGGCCCACGGCCTTCAAGCCCGTGCTGCCGCGATCGGGAGCCATCCTGCACGCCTCCCCCGAGAACACCAGCCACCAGCTGCACCCCGTCCCTCCAGACAAGCCCAAGGAGCCGGAGCTGAAGCCCGGCCAGTGCTCGGGGGCTCTGTCTGACTCTGGCCGCAACTCCATGTCCAGCCTGCCCACACACAGCACCAGCAGCAGCTACCAGCTGGACCCGCTGGTCACAGCCGTGGGGCCCACCAGCCGTTTCGGGGGCTCAGCCCACAACATCACCCAGGGCATCCTCCTCCAGGACAGCAACATGATGAGCCTGAAGGCGCTGTCCTTCTCCGATGGGGGCAGCAAGCTGGCCCACCCCAGCAAGGCGGACAGGGGCTCCTCGTGCGTGCGCTCGCCCATCTCCACGGACGAGTGCGCCATCCAGGAGCTCGAGCAGAAGCTGCTGGAGAGGGAGGGCGAGCTGCAGAAGCTGCGGCGCAGCTTTGAGGAGAAGGAGCTGGCCTCCGGCCAGGCCTACGAGGAGCGGCCGTGGCGCTGCCAGGACGAGCCCGAGGGCCCGGAGCCGAAGTGCGGAGGCAGCAAGCTGAAGGCGGCTTCGCAGAAGAGCCAGCGTGCCCAGCAGGTGCTGCACCTGCAGGTGCTCCAGCTGCAGCAAGAGAAGCGGCAGCTGCGGCAGGAGCTGGAGAGCCTCATGAAGGAGCAGGACCTGCTGGAGACCAAGCTGCGGTCCTACGAGAAGGAGAAGACCAGCTTCGCCCCCGCGCTGGAGGAGACCCAGTGGGAGGTGAGGCTGCAGGTGGTCGATGTTTGGTGCCTGGGCCCCGCCCCTCCTCCAGGTTCTGGCCAGTGGTGGGTGGGCACAAAGTGCCCCGGCTGCCCTCAAGGGCCCCCAAACGAGGGACTCCCCGGTATCCACATCCAGGGTGCCCTTAGTCTGCGCTTCTCACCCTCTCCCTGTCTCAGTGCCTCACGGCCCCAGAATTGAATGTACTGACCAAGTCACTGACCAGGAGGCTGGAACTGTGAGAAGCAAGGCCTCAGGCATCTGAGGGCCAGCTCACTCCGTCCACTCACAGGAGGCTCAATAGAAGCACAGCCACACCTGGGTTCATGCCGGTCCAAGAGCCATGAGAGAGCATAGGATTTGTTGCTTTTGAGGAAGGACCTCCACCCACAGGTGTGAGTAACCACAGCTGTGGCAGGTCTCAGTGGCAGAACGGACCGCTCCCCCTAGCAGGGTCAGTGGGGGCTCTATCAGGTGCCTGAGATGGAAATGAGAGAAAGAAAGGGTCTCTGGCACGCACACACACGCACTCAGACATACCTGGGAGGGAGGCCCCTGCACCTGGCCTTGCGGGAGAGCTGGCCTGACCCCCGCCCCAGCTGCCTGAGAGCAGCCATTCTCCCCGGGAGGGAGCCCCTGGAGGAGGGGCCGGGGCAGGTGGGAGCCTGTGCGCAGCAGCTCTGGGGCTCCCCCCAGGCCGCCTCCGCCCTGGAGAGAGACTGAGGGGTCGTTGTGTCCGGTGGGACCAGCCCTGCCCCCTGGCAGCACGGCCACCTGTCCGCCCTGAGCTCTCTGTTCTCACCCTGGAAATGAGAGCGGCAGTGTGACCAACAAGGAGGAAAAGGCTCCTGTCCGTGGCAGAGACGGATGGGGGGCTGGGCAGGTGAGGAGGGAGAGCCGCTTCCCGCTGGCCACGTCTCCCCGAGCGGAAAGGATGCGGCCGGGGGGCGCCGCAGACCGACCCGGGCCATTGTTCCTCGGCCAGGACTCGGGGACACTTTGGGGCAGCTCAGAGGTGTAAGCTAGTGCTGGCATTAGGCATCCGTCCCTGTCTGTCCCCTTGGAACTAAGCTGGACGTTGCCATGGGCCGCATCCCCAGGTCATCCGGGCAGGCTATAAGGTAGAACACAGTCAAATAAAGTAAACACTTATGATAACATAGATGTGGTCAAACATACTTATAATAATAGTGTATAGTGTGTTGATCAAGCGCCAGGCCCTAGGCTCCCTTATCTGTACTCCGTGCCCTATGGAGGAGGTACTGTTACTAATCCTCAATTTACGGTTCAGGAGACTGAGGCACAGAGGGGTTATAGTAACAAACAACTAGTTAAATGACTTGCCCACGGCCACCCCGTAGTAAGCATCAGAGCCAGGACTTGATCCTGCTGGCTTGGCCCCGAGTTCAGGTTGTTCATCATGATGCCATATTGCCATGCCAACACTAATGGTCACACAGGTCCCACGTGGTCAAGTCAGGATCACGAGCGAGGCCCAGGCCTCAGCTGAGACCCTGTGCTGCTCCCTCCATGGCGCAGATCCGGGCTCGCTGTGGGAGATATTCCCGGTCCCGTCAACGCTTCCACAGGGCTCACGCCAGCAAGGGGGCTTCTACTGTGAGAGGGACAGGGTGGACTGCCAAGGAGGCTTCCAGTCTTGCTCCCAGAGTCCCCCTGTTGGAGGTCCGGGCCCTGCCGACTTCCACCACCTTCCCAGGGCAGCAGGAAGCCCTTGGACCCACAACCAGACTGGCCTGGGTCTTCTTCTGAGCCACTCACACCCCGGAATGGCCAAGGCCCAGAAATGCACACATCTGCCTCAGTGCCTTGGTTGTGTCTGTGGATCTTGGCCCTTTGGATGGAGACTAGGAACAGAAAGGGTGGAGGCCGAGGCGGGTGGGAGAACACCACAGCCATCGGCCCGTGTTCAGTTGATAGGAATCGGGCCCTGCCTCAGGCCCGCTGCTCCTCATGGGTGAGTGCGTGGATCTGGTCTTCAACCCAGCAGGAGTGAAGGAGGGGGAGCCAGCTGTGTGCAGGGGTGAGGACAGGGTGTATGCGCATGAACGTGGTGATGGAAACACGGCAGACATGACGCCACTGGTGTTCGGTGTGCCTGGTGGGGGTGCCAGCAGTGGGCAAATTAAACCGCTGGTTGCCGACTGCCACATGATCACAGGCTTGGGTGTAGATTGAGATCTGGACTCTGAACTTGGTGTGAGGGAGGCGTGCGGACGACCGAGCCAGACTACAGAACGGAACGAGCCTCACGGAGGGGCTTGGCCTTCAGAGGTCGGTCACTGAGACCAGCAAGCTCGGGGACTCTCTGGCAGCTCAGGTCAGGACAGCTGCTTCCTTCTGTGAGGCAGGGAGGATGCGCCTTGCCCCAAGCGATGACCTCTCACCTCTCCTTCTCCCCCACCCGGCCCTCGGCAGGTGTGCCAGAAGTCAGGCGAGATCTCTCTGCTGAAGCAGCAGCTGAAGGAGTCCCAGATGGAGGTCAACGCCAAGGCCAGCGAGATCCTCAGTCTGAAGGCGCAGCTGAAGGACACGCGGGGCAAGCTGGAGGGCATGGAGCTGAAGACACAGGACTTGGAGAGCGCCCTGCGCACCAAGGGCCTGGAGCTAGAGGTCTGCGAGAACGAGCTGCAGCGCAAGAAGAATGAGTCGGAGCTCCTGCGGGAAAAGGTGAACCTGCTGGAGCAGGAGCTGCTGGAGCTGCGGGCCCAGGCGGCCCTGCAGCGCGACTGCGGGCCCCGGGCGCTGGGGCCGGGGGCCGGGCCGGCGCCCACCTTCGCGGAGGACATCCCCGCCCTGCAGCGGGAGCTGGAGCGGCTGCGGGCTGAGCTGAAGGAAGAGCGGCAGGGCCACGACCAGATGTCCTCGGGCTTCCAGCACGAGCGGCTGGTTTGGAAGGAGGAGAAAGAGAAGGTGATCCAGTACCAGAAGCAGCTACAGCAGAGCTACCTAGCCATGTACCAGCGGAACCAGCGCCTGGAGAAGGCCCTGCAGCAGCTGGCCCCCAGGGACGGTGCGGGCGAGCCTGTGGAGATTGACCTTGAAGGGGCCGACATCCCCTACGAGGACATCATCGCCACCGAGATCTGAGGGGCCCCCAGGAGACGGGGAGCTGGGACCTGGCCCTGGGAGGCAGGGGCGTGGAGCCCGTCCGGCGGGCACCCTCCCCTTCTCCCCTGTTCAGTCACTGGGCCCCTCAGTGGGAGGGGGGGAGGGGAGAAAGGACTGCCTCAGGACCTCTCCCCCCATTTCCCATGGTCCAGGGCCCACCACTCTGCAGCCCACCAGACCTCTAGCTTTCCCAAGAGGTGGGCCCCGTGGTCTCCGGCATTTGGGGAAGGCCTCCCTACACCTTGGCCTGTATTCCAATACTTGAGACACCCTCCCCTGGGGATAGCAGCAGCGGCAGCCGCGAAGGCCAGTGACCACCTCTCCACTCACAGTCCTTCTCCCCTGGGTGTCCTGGGATGCGCTGGGGACATAAAGAAGCCATTGGTGACCAGAATCCTTGTATCCTGAGCGGGTCATCACCTGAGCTCTCCCGCTGGCCAAGGAGGTGCAGGGCCGAGTGGGGTGTGGCTCACTGGGCTTGGCACCTTCAGCGCTGTCCTGAGCCTGCAGCCAGGGAAGGGAGGGAAGAGCTGGGGTAGCCCCGGAGAATCCACGCAGCAAGGACCACAGAGACAGCGGGAGAAGCTCAGTGGTAGTGGCCAGACCCTGCTGGGCCTGCTAACAGGGGGGCGGCGTCGGGGGCAGCCTCTGGGCAGCTGGTGGCCTTTGACCTCAGTGACCACTTCTCTTAAAGCCATAGACACCAAGCGCCTGGGTAGGTGCGGGGAAGGGAGGCTTGGAGGCACCGGGACACAGGGTGGGCGTGGCCTTCCACTCTCCCGGGAGCCTCCAGAGAGTCCCTGTGGGGCCTGGAGGCAGGGCTTCCCCACCGGGTTGAAATTGGCCGGCAGCTGCTTTGAACTTATTTTCTTCCCAGGAATCGAGCCTTTGCTGGATCCGAATAACCCGTATCCACTGAGATGGTTCAGGGTGATCTGGGCAGCGGCCCCCCTTTTCCCCTTCACAGGTTCAGACAAGAGTCCTTCCCGGTCGGGAGGGGTCCCCAGAGCCCCAGGGGCCGGGAAAGGGAGAGGTGCAGACGCAGCCTTATGAACGTCCCCCGGACTGGCCTCCCTCCACCCTGAGCCCCACAAGAGCCCCAGCCGAAGAAGCCTGAGGCCGCAGCTGCTGGGAGCTGGGCCAGTCTGGGGAGGCTGGGGTCTCCTTCCTGAAGATGTGCAGAGCTGGGGAGGACAGAAAAGGTAGAGTTTCTCAGCTGCTTGTTTCAGGAAAATTTTTTTCTTCTTCTTTTTTCCTTGACTTTTCAGAAGCAAGCCAGACCCAGCAGGCAGCCGGGCTGTTCCCTGTTCTATTTTTGACTGCCGCCACAGCTGCTGTTCTCGGGACAGCCAGCCCTTGCTGGCTCCTGCGCCTCCTGCCTGCCTGCTGGGAGGGCCCACCGAGGCCAGGGGGATGAAAATGCCCAGACAAGCAGCCAGTCCGAACCGGTCCCCGCCGGTCCCGGCTGCATCCCTGACCTCTGACCTCTGGCTACAGGCGCCCTGGGAGTGCATGGAGCTGCCCCTCTTCCTGCTGCTGACCCTCCAGGACCCGCCAGGTTCCTTCCCCGAGCCTGGGGTGGGGCTGGGCCACCTCCTCTGTGGCTGGCTCTGCCTTCGGCCCCCAGGGCTAAGCTGCGGCTGTCCTGCTGCCTTCCCGCGGCAGAGGAGCAGTCCTGGAATCTGAAGCCATGGCTTAGTCATAAGCTAGGTTTAAACCTGGAATCCACAGGCCAAGAGTCCCCCACCTGCCCGGAGGCCACTGCCCGCCACTGGGCGCAGCACAGACCCCCAGGTTTACAGATGTCCCGTTCCCACGCCACGGCCCCCCGTCCTTCCGTGTCCACCGGCCCGCGCGTGCCTTGTTCGAGTCCTTCCTCCCAGTGACACGGCGCCGGGCTGGAGACTCCTGACACCCGCTCCCACCCCCCACCCCCGAAGAGCAGCCCCTCACCTGAGAAGAGGCGGGCACTGACCATGGCGTGACCACGCCCTGCACCCCACATCCCTGCCCTCAGCCAACCCACGGATGCCCTCCCTGGGCTGCCGCCAGCCCAAGGCCCCAGGACAGCCCACAGTGGCAGCCGAGTGCATCAATGTCCTGTGGCCGTGACCTCACCACCAGGCGGTTTTTCTTCCCTTCCCTGTGGAGAGACACCCTTATCCTCCCAGACCATGCCAGACGCAGCCTCCCCAGAAGGAGGCTGTGAACAGCAGAGGCTGAGCAGGGACTGGTGCGGTCGGTGGCCCGGGCCTGCGCGCACACCCACTGGCCTCCGTGCTCGCTCAGGCAGGCCGGCCGCCACGCTCCGCAGAGAAGGCCTGGCCTGGAGCTGCACCGGCCGCCTGCCAGGAGAGAGCAGCATCCGGCACCACGTCACCAAGGAGGAGACTCTGCTTCTGGGCCTGGCCCCCAGACTCCCACAGGCACCCACTGAAGGTTCTCCTCTGGCCACCGGTGTCGTTCAGGTGACTCCTGTTGGGTGCACTCCGCCTGCTGTGGGCACGGAGCTCTATGGGGCCCGGGGGCCGTTTCTCCCTGAGGAGCAGCTGCTGAGCCCCTGCCTCTGCCTGGTCTTGTCCCGGCCCAGACAGGGCTGCCCTGGGGTCTGCCAGGCCAGGCGGATGGAGCAGCAGCTTTGGGGGGGGGGGGTGCTCCCTGCGGGTCCCGAGTGCTCTCGGAGCCGGAGCGTTGGCCCTGCGCAGGCGGGCGCTCCCTGCCCCTGCGGCGTGCTGGGTTCTGCTGCATCTGCAGGCACAGCCGGCCCCCGCCCAGGCTGCCCTCAGACGGACTAGCCTTTGGAAGAATATGTACACAGTTATTTTCCTCTTGGTCATTTCTCGTTGTTGGATCTGCTTTGCTTTTGACAGCTTCATTTTGTTTTACTTTTAATGCCCCTTTTTGGCCATGTGAACTATTTCTGGTGATTTTACGTTTTTATTTATGAATAAAGAATGCCGTTTCTCATGCCCTCCATAGCTGCTTCTGTCTGCCCAAGCTGCCCTCCTTCCCCGGCTGTGCTTCCACAGCTTCTGGGGGCCTCTCCTCAGGGAACTGGAAGGGCGCCGCCCCTCCCACCGGGGAAGGAGGTGGGACCGCCTTGATGAGGCCAGTACTGGCTGGTAGGGAAGCACAGGCCTTGGCGGCAGCAGCAGCTAAACTTCCTGCTGGACCCTGCCGCTCACCAGCCCTGGGCCCTTATCTGCAAACGACCGTGGGACTGACGCTGAGGAGGGGGAAAGGAGACCGAGGGCACAGCCCCCTGCAAAGGCACAGGGTCCTCTCCTAAAGAGAGCCCCTCCCAGCCCCATTGTCAGGCCTCCGCCGCTCACACTCCGGGTGCTCAGCTCACCAGCCAGCCCCTTGGTCTCTCGCACGTGGCCTCTTTGGCAGGAGTCCAGAGTGCCCATGGCTGCCACTACCCAGGGCCTCCCGGCTGGAAAGGTGCAGTCGCCACACTGGCCATCTGGCCAGCCATCCCGAGCCAGCCTGCCTCATTTACCTCAACAACGGTTTCCTACTGGCCTGGGCTCAAAGCCTGCTACCCCGGTGGCAGGTGACAGAAGGGACATGGAAAGCAGGGTAGGAGCACGAGGTAGCCTTGGGAACAAGTGAGGGTAGATGGCAGTGCCCCTGTGGTAGAGCTGATCCGAATGTCCAGGGAGGGTGGCGGGCAGGAGGGACCTGGGGAACAAGGGTGAGGCTCTAGCGGGTGGGGAGGGAGGGCCCAGGGCAGATCTTGCAGCCGCAAGGCCCCGCCCACCTGCCCGCACGGTGCAGAAGCGCATTGGAGAGGCTACTAGGCGCTCAGGCCCAAGGAAGCTCAGGCAGCTGAGAGGCGACCAGGCTGGGACTAGAGACCCACATGGGTCAGATGCCAGGGCCCCAGCGGGCGGGGTCATGCCAGGCCTGGGGTAACCCCACCGACCCTTCCTCCCCGGCTGTAGGCTGCTGCCTGGGGGACATCCCTGAATATGCCTCCATCTGTTTGCCCCCGGGCAGGCCCCCGGGCTCACTCTGACCTTCCACCGTGGCACCCTCCAGGGCCCTGAGCAGCCTTGTAAGAAGCCCCCCAAGTCTGCTGGGGAGGCCCCGTGGGGCAGAAGGTCCGGTTGTCCCAGCTGGGTTCCAGCTGAGTGCAGGTGAGCAAGTGACCAGGATCCAGTCCACCCCTGGGGACGGAGGTCTGCTCCCCGCGTTCTGCCCTTCCAGGATCCTGAGCCCAGAACATACGAAGGGGCCGTGTCTTTAAGCCCTCAATTCAGGGTGATGATTTATTATGAGGCTTTGCAGTAAATAACACAACGCCCTCTGGCAACCCCCTTGCGTGCCAGTCCTGCATCCAAAGGGTGAGGAACAATAGGGGAGCAGGGCCCCTGGAGAGAGAGCAAACAGGCAGTTGCAGCCTCGGGGTGGCCGCACGGGCGCAGGCCCGGGGCGTCCCCGTCGGGCTGCAGGCGGCTGTGCGGCTGTGCGGGCAGGGGGTGGGGGCGGCCGAGGGCCGTGCGAGGTCCCCAAGCAGCCACCACAGCAGGAGCTCTCCGAGTTACGTGAGGAAAGTCACTGCCCCGCAGTGTCCCCCTGACCTGTGCGTCACAGGTGAAGCATCCAATATCCCCATTTCGCTCCCCCCTGTGTGCACACAGATGCTCATTGAACACCCATGTACTGAGCTCCGACCGGATGCCAGGCTCTGCTCTGCTTACCGGAGGCCCAGAGGCAAACAAAACCAGCCTAGTCCTTTCCCCCGCAGACCTTGCACTGCGGGGGCAACCAGTGAGGCAGGTGGGCCTGTACCTGGCGGTGCTCTGTCAGCCTGCGCACAGGTGACGCTGGGTCTGCCGGGGCAGGCAGGGGAGGCTGGCACAGGGAAGGGAAGGCGGGCAAACAAAATGTCCCCTTATATCAACATTTTGGGAGATTGTGCTAGTCACTGTCCTTTCCTAACTTGGACCATCCCCCACCCACCCCCAAGTTCT